GAAGAAATGATGGACAGATATATGGATGGATGTTAGACATCATTTCTGAATCATAATAAGAACTCAACAGTGTTGCTTCCCTTTCCCGGTGTCACTGCTTGCAGTGACATGCTGTGCAAGATGGGAGGGTAGGTACTGTGGGATAGATGTTTTCTAGCTTACTTGCTGATGTGTACATCCGCTTGCTTAAAGGTAAGTGCTTAGACTCAGTGCCCCTGAACCAGGAACTCTTAAGAAGTTGCCTTTTGATTGTGTCCCACTGTGAAGTTTCCAGTTGCCATGACAACTTCCCAAACCCTAGTGGCTGCTCCATGACCATCTGCTCTTAGTACAGGCTTGACCTGTGTGCTTTCTTCTTCCTGAATTGCAGAGACAACAGTAGTGATACAAACATTTCCGTGCATAAATGGATTCTCTGTGATGCTGTTGATTCCGATTCTCCCTCCTATTTGATCTTTCTTCATTAAGCCCTCCCTTCACTATCTTCCCTTTCAGTCTTCTATAAAGAATAATTTCCTTCCTAAATATATTCAGCATATATTTACTTTGCTGTACAAAGTGGTAACTAAGTCCTAATTTATTTCCTCCATACTGAGACACATAATAATGTCTGCCCTGGACATTATTATTTACCAAGGGCTTACTCTGTGTCAGGATCTGTGTTCGAGACCCCAACACTTACTGTCTTGTTTAATCTCTACAACACTTTCCAAGAATAGACTTTTTATTATTGTTTTCGCTGAAAATTGATAACTTACCCAACATGACTTCACTGCTCATAATGATTCTGGAAGACTCTGGATCACTATGACGATTTCCATGACCTGTGAGACGTAATTAGTTCAGTGAGGCCCAGGGAGAGCATGTGAGCCTCCCTGCTCCTGTTTTTCAGCGTCCTCCTGAGTGCTGTGCAGCTCAGGTGGCATTTCTGAGTAATTAGTAACAGAAATGTCTGAGTCAAATCCGTTTTGGATCTATCGTTGCTCCATGAACTAGGGATGAGAAATACTTCTTCAGGATGCCCAGGCTGCTGCTTTACGTGGCTCCTTAACTGGGGCATTGAACCCCCACCCCCAAGATAGGAAAGTCACACCTCTTTCACCATTGCAACAACTTATTCATGCGGGACTTGTCTTCAGGTCCCCCTTTTCCCCAGAAAGCCCTCCGTAGACTCTTGAGGAGAAGTTCATTGCTGCTATAAATGGTATCTTCTAGTGATTTGTGAGAAAATTATGGAGTAATACTTCAATTGCTTAAAGTCAAGTCTATGCCAAAAACAAAAGCAAAACAAAGCATCCCAAGTCCATCTCCTTTCCTGTAGAAAACATTGATGACAGCTTGTTTATGATATTTGCTCGCTGAAATGTTTATATGATCAGAGTTTGAAAGAGATGAAAACGTGCAATTTAATTTAAAACCGTCTATATTGAATTTATTCTTTCATTAACATTTGTTCTATAAGTGAAACTATGTCAAATGAGTGAATATTTCCTACCTTAGCAAGCACTGTTTTAGGATTAGGAATAAAGATAAAGATTCATGTGTGTGTCTGTGTGTGTGTGTGTGTGTGTGTGTGTGTGTGTGTGTGTGTGTCTGTGTGTGTGTGTGTGTGTGTGTGTGTGTGTACATGCACATGCATGCTAATCCTGGGGCTTGAATTCAGGGCACTATCCTTGAGCTTTGTGGCACAAGGTTAACACTCTACCAGCCACAGCTCCAGTTCTGGGTTTTTGGTACTTAATTGGAAATAAGAGTCTTGTGGCTCTTCCTGTGCTGGCCTTCATCTGTGATTCTCAGATCTCAGCTTCCAGAGTAGCTAAAATTACAGGCATAAACCACCAGTGCATGGCAAAATTCCTATTCTTAAGTGACTTTGGGGTAATGCATTGTGTTGTAAGGTACAAAAATGGACAAAATAGGATCTTTTCAATTAAGCAGCTCACTGAAAAATTTGTATGCATTAGGTCAATTCTAAAGTGGGCTGTTACACAGATTTCTGTTTCACTGGAACCATTAGAATGTTCATGAGCTGACATTGTGCTGAGTGGTCCCTACCTATGCCATATTGCTTGATGGCATTGTTACTGTCTTTTGTGGAGGTAACAGCTTGTACTGATATTCTATTCTGTACCAGGCACTGTGCTAGCTGCTGGAATATCAGGGTGAGCAAAAGATGCTATTTCCCCAAGGAATTTATTGCTGATCAACATGACCAGGTTGTTTGGAATAAGGTATGGAGGAACAGAGCAAATAGAGGTAGTTTATCAGTCTAGAGCATGAGTTACTTACACTTTTGTGGAGTCTCAAAGACAAATGGGAAGGGAGAGGGACAAGGAAACAAGTAGAGCTCTATTTGGAGAAAATAACACTTGCAACAATATTAGCAGGATAAAGAGATTGCCTGTGATGGTAGTACTACAGAATTCAGCACCAGCATCTAAGCAACTAGGCCTGGTTGGGGAGCACACAGAGGACTGGGTACAGGAGCACAAGAAGCCTTCATGAAAGGCTGAGGATGCCAGTGTCAATCACATCCCGTGAACGGATGGTGTCAGGTTCTCCAGGGGATGCACAGGAAGTGAAGCGAGCAGATATGTGGTCAGACCTCATCCATTCCATTAGTAGACAGACAGTGGAAGAGTTAAGTAGGGAGGGGATATGAAAATTCAAAGTTCCTAGAATAAGTAGGACAGCAGGATTGTTTTGTTTCTATAAGAGATGAAAACAGAAGACTGGAAGATGACATCTAAGGACCTGGCCATCTACATGGTGGATCATAGTCTCAGTATACTGAGGAACTTGGGAAGAGGAGGGTGGCTTGGGAAAGAAGATCATGTGTGTCCCATTTTGAATGGGTTGTATCTGACATTGTCATGGGATGAGTGCAGAAAAGTTTCCAAGAGGGTTGAGGACAAAGGTTTCTTCAACAGAAGAGAGCAGGGAAAAGAAATGTGGAGCAATATTGCTGAAAAGCTGGAAATTAGAACCTTGAAGGTAAATGTAACGAGAGAAAAAAAATCAAAGAATAAAAATAAAAGGGAGCTCAAGACAGACCATATCTCTCTGCTGGCTCAGCACAAAGATGCAATCTACTTTATAATACAGCATCCTCCACTAAATCATTTTTCATTCTCCCATACTAGATTCCCCACCCCACCCCCACCACAAACACACTGTTCTCTTGCGTAAGTTTTCACAGAGTTTGTCTTGGAATCCAACTAACTGTAGATAAGCTTGTCTTTTTCTCCTAACCTGTAAACTCCTGAAGAGGAGTGGTTATACTTAATTCTGAACTATATGTGCTTTGCACAATAAAGTGCTTATTAAATCCTAGTGAAGTTGTTCTGAACTGACCATTTACCAACTATCTGTCAAGTCCCTGTAGATGATAGGTTTTATGTACATGATATTGTATAACCATCACAATAGCACAGTGAGATGTTTGTCACTATCTTCATACACATGCTAGAGAGTAGAAGTATGAGGAACAAAGCAAATCATACAGCCAGTGAGAGGTACACTAGCGAACATTATCTGTTTGTGCGTATCTGTGAATGTTTGTATGTGCCAGTACTGGGGTTTGAACCATGGGCCTCATGCGCTTACTTAGCTTTTTCCACTCAGGGCTGTACACTCCCCCACTTGAGCCACACACCCGCTTCTGGCTGGAGGATTTGGGAAATCCTAGGATCTCCAAGGAGATCCTCTCTCAAGGAGTTTTCTTCCCAGGCTAACTTTGAACTGTGATTCCCCAGATCTCAGACTCCTAAGTAGCTAGGAATACAGGCGTGAGGTACCAGTGCCCATGTAGCTTTGTATTAATAAAATACCTGAGAAAAATTGACCCAAGATGAAAAATGTATTTTGTCTCATGATTTCAGAGATTTTGGTCAGTGCTTCCTTGGTTCCATTACTTTGGGGCTATTGGAGAGGATGTGGTAGGGAAAAACTCCTCCCCCAAGTTGGGGCGGGGGAGAGAGAGAGAGAGAGAGAGAGAGAGAGAGAGAGAGAGAGAGAGAGAGAGAGAGAGAGAGGGAAGGAGAGAAAGAGAGAGAGAGAAAGAGAGAGAGGGAGAAAGAGAGGGAGGGAGGGAGGGAGGGAGGGAGGGACAAAGGGAGAGAGGGAGAGAGACAGAAACAGAGAGAAAGAGAGGGAGGGAGAGAGGGAGGAAGGGAGAGAGAGAGAGACAGAGAGAGACAGAGAATATGAATGAGAAAAAGAAAGGAAAGGGCCATGGACAAGATAGACCCTCCCTCCAAGGCATGGCTTCAGTGACCAGCCTCCTTCAACTAGGCCCCATGACTGTTTCCACCATATCACGATAGTCAACTCAACTGTGCACTCAATCGTAGATTACTTCATGGTTGAGATTAGAACTCTTGAGATCAAATCGCTTCCTAAAATCATACCTCTGGAACTTGCTACACTGAGGAGAAAGTTTTCAACATGTGTGTTTGGGGGACCCAAACTATATCAGGAGGTTAAGACCTTATTTGTACCTGGAACTATCTAACTCTAAAGCACATGCTCATTTCATTAGCTAGTAGTGAATTCAACAACACAGTGTCTTCTCCCTTGATTCTAAAGAGTGTTTAATATTACATAATTGTTATTTAGGATAACCAACTAAATTGGAGCAAGGAGAGCTCTTTCTTTCAGGAAGTCTGCTTTTTTTTATCTTTACCAGAAGGATATTTCCTTTGGTAATAACTTTGATTAAATAATAATCCAAAAAGATACTTCTTTTGGCAAGGGATTATTATTTAATCAGGGTTTTTATTTAATCCAATTTCACAGAGAATTAAGCCAAGGCACAATAAATCACAGAGGTGGTAAAATGTGGTTTCTTTCTTTTTCCCTCTCCTCCTCTTCCTTCTTTCCTCTGCTCCCCTTTCCTTACTCCAGATTCCCATTTCAGTAATAAGAGGATTCCCAAACAGCACAATCGCCATTTTTTACACCATGAAACTACTTATCACTGTATTTGTTTGCATTATTAGGTTTACTGAAAAGCCCTGTGAACAAGACCGCCCTGACTCTGATTGCTGTGAGCTCCTGCATCCTGGCCATGGTGTGTGGCACACAGATGTCCTGTCCACTTACTGTGAAGGTGACCCTTCATGTGCCAGAGCACTTCATTGCGGACGGTAAGAGCCCAGCCTTGAAGGTCCCTACCTCCCCTCCCATATACTTAGCTACTCAGAACTCTGTGCCCCTGGCTCATTAAACATTTCTTCACGTGGCCCGGCCTCACAAGTCTGTGATATACATCAAAGGGAGAAAAAATAGAAGACCCGAAGCCCTGAAAGAAAACCTTACTATTTTAAGCTGTAGATGATTAGAATTACATCAACTATTGCTTTTATTCTATAAGGAAGGATAAGGCTTGTTAAATTCAGGAAGGATTCATACGTGTGTTTAGAAAATAAATTAGTCAAGAAAACCTACAGGCTCTTGGTTGTGCTTCTGGATCTTGTTCCAAGTTACATATGTTCCTCAAAGGTGTTCGCTAATGGAATGCATCTTGCAGAGAAAATTGTATGAGTTTTTCTGGAATTTCCTATATTTCCTTCTCTATAAATGTATGTTACACAGATCTTCCATTTCACCAATTGTTTCCGCCCAGTTAAATTGAATTCATGAGACATGGTAGTCAGCATGGTCCTTTAGCAAAGCATGGTACAAGGAAGTGATTGAGGTGCTTGCTATTCATTGCCCTCTGGAAAACCCAATTCCATTGCCATCCTCTAGCAGAGTATCCTGATTCCTGTTTTGCCAAACATTGGGTGGTATTACTATCTTTGCATTTTTTTTCAAATTTAGGATAAATAATATATCAAACATTATTCTAAGTACACAACTTAATTATTCAGTTTTTTCACACTTTTAAAATGTATTTATCTTAATTCATTTGGAGATGTGTTTACCTATAAAATTGTCACTATTCTTGACGCCTTAAACATGACCACCACAGTGTTTCCTCTCTCCTTTGACCATTTAATAGAAGACTATATACGAGTTCATCCAGTCCAAACTCATCATGTTCAGAACCTATACTCCCTTTTTAAGGAAAGCTCATCTAGGTTAATTCAACCTTTGGTTACTCCCCATTTCACCATGGTGAATTGGCCTGCTTCTTTTTTAGTTGGCCCATAGTAAACTCCATATTTCTTGGTTCATGTATACTCACTTGGTTTTCAGGCATACCTATATCTAGTTCATGCCTGTCCAATCACATGTACATTATAAGCACAGGGAAACGTGTGTGAAATGGCAAATGAAGGCAGAAGAAATAAATTCTACAGGTACAAACAGACAGGTAGGCTCATACTGCTTAGGACTGAGAATTCCCAGGACCTATGTAGCTAGAAAATCAGGATGGGAAAATTGGAAGGATGAGCACTATGTTGGACAAAGCAAGAGTGTCGGAAATTCTGACCTCTAGAACTGTACTCCACCCCATTAGTTAATTTTTTATGTTTGTTTTTTGATTTGAGGATACATTAAGGGTATTAAAAACTATGTATTTATATACATAAGGAAGTGGAGATCTATAGGCAATGACTTATTCAAGGTTAAGGCAAGGTAGTTTAAAGGCTAAAAACACAGAATCTGGAATGATAGCAAATGAGAATTCCAGTGTTTGTTCTGTCTACTACATACTTCTGTAGCCAAGTGAATCACTTACTTTCCCTGTGCCTATCTCTACATCTATAATAACCTGTATCTATTACTTGGATACAATAATAATAACCTGTATCACTTACTCTTTGCCTGCCTCTGTCTCTGTATCGACAATAATTGTCTCATAGGGGTATTGTGAAGAACACAAAAGCTTCCTTTCCCATGCATACCAAGTTTTCAGATGCAATTGGCTGGAAAATAGTTAAATCAAATGCCAGCTAAGAAGGCTGCAAAGAGTCTTGGTGGTTAGACCAAATTGTGATGAATTAAAAGTTTCCTTTCCTCGGTGCCCTATTCTGACTTCCATCATAGATGCGCATTTTTGGTAACTGCCTAATACTTAGCTGTCTGCTTCTAGACTGAAATCTCTGTGAGAGGAGGAAGTGTGTCTTTGGGGAGAAATCTCGTTATTTCTGATGGCAAGCACAGGGCAGAACTGTTCATGATTCTGTGGGATTTGTCTACTGTATTTCCAAGCAAAGAGAAGCTCAGGCAAATAAAACTAAGGGCTGGGTATCATGGCACATCTGTAATCTAGCACTCAGAAAGCTGAGGCAGGAAGATCACAAGTTCCTGGCCAGCTTGGGCTGCTACACAAAGAAAGTCTTAAATGTACCTGAGCTTTGCTTCAGGCATCTATATGAGGAGACACACAGGTACAGAAATAACTGTTGTGAAACCCAGTTTTTATTCTTGTAGACTCTAGAAAAAAATATACAAATATGCCATGCCAGGCCACAAGGGATCACATGCCAGGATCTGTCAGGAAGCAGAAAGGGTTGAAAATGTGGGTAACCACCTATATTATGGTCTTTTATTGAAGGAAAGATGTGACAGGCCAAACCGGTTGTACAGGTTTAGGAATAGCTTGTTGGCATATGCTTAGTGGGTAATAGGGCTCAAGAGTCTTAGATACTACCTAGTTGCCTGATCTCCAGGCCAGATTAAGAAAAGCATAGGTTCCACAGAGAGGAAATAGGTGTCTGGTTTCTAGATTGGTTAAGGTGCATATGAAATGCATGCTCCTGGTCAAGTCTATTGCTCTCCCCACTAAGAATTAACTGACCTCTGATGGGAAAGTGTCTCCACAGGAAGATGCAAATATTAGAACAACATGAAAATATAAAATATAAAAAATCTAGTTAATTGGAAATAATTAATAGGTCCTGGAGATGTGATGAACAAGCGCAGTTCTGGGAAAGTCATCCCACTGTATCTCTTTTATTCAGCCTAATGAAATTCTCAGGACTTGCATGATGCTGTGTCTCAGTTAGGAATGTGTTCTTTCCATTGAAGTAAGCACTGTTTTATAACTCAGTTCCATGTTTTAGTTACTGTCAATCATAAGTGAGTCAGGTAATCTCCCCAAGACTCCTTTTGCTCTCTTCTGTAAAATGGGGTTTGTTTTGAGAGTAATAAATAGTACAAATGTGTAAATCATGCCTAGGTGATCGCCTAAATCTACGTATGTGTTCAGTAAATGGTAAGGTAGTAGTATGTGTGTTTGTTAAACAATTCATCAAGAAAGAGACTTCAGAAACTGAGATTTGATGGGGGAAGGAAGATGGAGAAAGGTCAATAAGTGACCTTATCTAGTCTCAGGTGAGTGAAGGGAGTGAATGATATGCTTGCCTTCAGAATAGAACAGGAAATATGTGTGTGCCTCCCACACTTAAAGTCCTGAGCACATGAAGATTCTCAGCCTTCTGGGCATCCAAACGTATCCTGAGAGCGCCCACTTGGAGTCAGATAGATGGCGATCTGGTAGTTCCCCAGTAAAGGTTTCAAGGACTCTCATGGCAGAAATTCTTACTGTTTTATTTCTTGACTCCAACAGATCACCAAAGGTGACAGATAGAGGAATTAGGATTTGGCAAAGGGATAGATCTAGTCTTCTGTAGGAGTAGGAAAGGATCTAGAAAAGAACAGTCTTTTATTTGTTGTGCTAGTGGAGTTTCTAGCTCTGATTTCTAGAGCTGTCAGGCTGTTATGTAGGGGGACAAGACAGAAAGTGAGGATGATGACTCTATTCCTGGAACACTGCCATCAGCTGACATTGATATTTATAAATGTGTTGTGTTCTGTTATAAGTACAGTAACTAATACAGATGAAGATTATACATACATCCATGCATTTGTATGTTTGGATCATAGTACAGGACCCGTAAGACCACTGGCTAGATTTATTTTCAATTTTAATAAGGTCTAGAGTCAGGATGATGGTAACTTGTCTCCAATAAAAGGAACTCCATTTGAGGACAGATCTCCTAAGGACCCTTACCATGGCAGCTCTCATCACTTTTCTTCCTCTTTCAGGCGCTCAAAGCTACCAAAAGCTAACCCTTTCTTGGCCTTTCTTGGGAGACAGAACTCTCCAGCAACCTTAAACGTTGAGCTGTCTATGGTGCTGAAGTATTGGATGGGGTTGAGTAATGTGTCCTGTCTTCAGGAAGAAAATGAATTCTGTTGCTCTGTAGTTATACTTGATGCTTAGTTCCCATTATAGGGAAAAGGTCAGCATGACATAGCACTTGTCCAGAGACCAGCTGGCAAGAGCAATATATACTGACATGATCCCTATCCAAGCTCTCACACCTTCTCATTACCAGGATTCTTTAAGTGGCTTTTTGCCCTGTCAGGCCTACATTGAAGAGGTGAGACACATTTGCACAAGCACTCACTGAAGTTAGCATCTTGTCTCTACCTGTAATCTATACATTTGTCTGATCCCCTCAGCTAATGAATCAGACTCTGGGAGTAGATCCCAGGTATCACTTAAATTTTTTCTCTTTATTATTATTATTATTATTACTACTACTATTATTATTATTATCCTTAAATAGTTGTACAAAGCAGTTACCATTTAACAAAGCAATATCTGAACACAATATAAAGATCAAGGTCACCCCTTTCAACATTCTCACCCATCCCTCCCCTATCCACCCTTTCCTTCATTCTCCTTAATATTGTAGGATATAAATTGGGATCTTGCCTGCATTCTCCCCCTCTTCTTTTCATTTGTCTACCTCTTTCCTATTGACCCCACCCCACACCTTTCGAGTACCTGCTTCCTGGTGTTTATTTTGCTGAACTTTGATTTTTGTCTTTCTAAGGAATTGCACTATTTGAGATCTCTAGTGAATCTATTATATTTCAGTTAATAAATTTGTATACACTTGCATACCACCCAATATATTTACTCTTGGGTTTGTAATCTAAATCTAGCTTGCATGTGTAATGAAAAAACATGGATCCCTTGTCTCTCTGGGCCTGACTTACTCCACTCAACATGTTTTTCCAATTTTTTCCATTTCTTTACAAATGGTACAATATCATTCTTTCTAATGAATGAGTGAGATTTCATTGCACATACATACATCACGCTTTCTTGATCTATTCCTCCACTGAGGGCATCTGGGCTGATTTCAGACCTTTGCTATGGTGAATAATGCTGCAATAGACA